ATATGAAAAGGGGGTGAATTTTAAAACTCCACACTTACTTTTGTGCCATGCATGCGTACTGTACATCATACATTTAACTAAAGTGGATGCTAGGGAAGTTATTTAAAACTCATTATGATGTAAAGTTTCGGAGTAGAACCGTGACTGTTGAGTGGATGTTACAAATGAACACTCATACAACTGCAACTTACTATATTGCTCTTAGAGAAGCTATTGCTAGCGTATAATAGAGCACAATATTATCTACCTGTCTTCAATTTACTCCGTAATAAAACTGCGCAGCGTATGACAGATATTGATTTCCCGAAATAATTAAGTTTATACAGCAATCTACGTACCACGATCGTACCGATTTCAAAATCTAATTAACTGTGTCGATCAACTACTGCTAGCGATGTTGTTGGGATTGGGTACGTTACCAATTATAAAGACTTGTCGTGAGCTCAGGGGATCAAAAATCATCAAATTACAAGGGGAGGGAAGGTATCGCCAACAGCTGACGAACTAAATCCTTTCTACCCTAACGGTATAATTAAATCGCCAATTAAACTACACAATTCTAATGAAAACAGTGATTCGACAGCAATTTGGTTATCATCTCCAAGTTTCGATGAACCTCTTTGTATACAAGTCCATTACTGAATCTTGTTTTTTTCGTATAATTATTATTTGCTTACTACGTTAACGACTGTGATGCAACGACTAAACGGATGTAAATAGATTCCACCTTCTCACCAAATTATTGCGGACAGCTGCAGTTCCAATGTCAGCTAGGCTAATTTAAGCTAGGAATTCAAACCATCTTCTAATTATCACCTCATCTGTACTTAAGTGTACACGAGACAAGGTTAGTGGTAATAGAGCGCATTTCCTCACGCAATTACCATAAAATAAATATTCACTCGAGCCAAAAATAAAAAATAAACCGAAACTACGAATGCTGGAAGAAAACGATCAATTTCATGAAGTATCTAAAGGAATTTAGAGCCGAACAAATTACGAAATGAATAACGCAAAAATTATTGATCATAAATTGGTCAAGGGAAACCTACATGCATGCTTCAAACTTTCTTCCGTTCAAGAGTTATCAAACGGAGACGAGCGGACGGGCCGGCAAACAGGCAAAATTCATGGATTTCCATGCGAATCTAATGGTCTGAAAACTGGATCTGGATTTTGGGTAGGGAGTGAACTGTAGCCACCCCACGCTTGGTACTGTGATGGTCTTTCTCGCGTGGCAGCAATCTGAGCATGCCCTTTGATCCATACAAGTTGAAGGGAGTTGCTGCGCGCTATGAGATCCGGTTACCCACCCGCAAAACATCTGTTAAACGAGCTAAAAATAAATCAAAATTGAAACTTAGAATTTTATGATCTCTCTCATACACATCCGGGCTCTGTTATAAAGAAAAATCAAAATCGACCTAGAATTTCTCAATTTGAGAGACTCGGTCGCCTCGATCAACCTCCGAAAATTCCAAAGAATTTATTACAAATTTTTATCAACACCTGAAGTAAATATTGGCATGATTAGAAAAATCTGACATGAAAACTATCTGGGTCGCACTTTGGATTCGAATAAACACACAATTAATTGATCGACAATGACAAAATTTTATTCCAAAAGACATGAAAGAATTAAAACAAAATCCTTGTAATAAAAATAGGGTTACAAAGCCTGGTTGGACTTATTATCCCCACGCATGCGGTCGACAATTAAAATTTAATCTTAAATTACTTACAGTTTTTTCTTAATAATCCAAATAATGTGGTGATAAAGGGGTTTGCAATACTGGCGGAACTTATTCACACACAAAAGCAGGCCCTGAACTTCATTTTGCTTTGTGACACAGTATTAGACGACAAACAAAACTGGCTTGATGAACGAGATGACAAATTTTCGGTGGCTGTTCTGACGGTGGAAAATTTTAACTTTTAATAAGAAGAGAAACTTAAACTTTGGTTAACTTGTTTCTGCACCATGTAATATATACAAATCTCGTGTCACAGTGTTTGCGGTCGAACCCCTCCGGAAACGGCTCGACTGAAAGAAAAATAAACAAACATCGAAATACAAATTAAAATTACAAATGAAACGAACTAACTGTGTATTTACTTCGTAAATAATCCACAAGATTTGCTTAATAAATTGAAGTATTCTCATATACAGGGTATCCCGTCATTACTTTTCGTGTTTATGCCGGAAAAACGTCTACAAGACGTTGTTTACACAAAAATGGCGACATTCAGGCACCAGCCTAGAAGTGATTTTTCAGTGTCAGATATGATGGATCTATAAACCTTTGGAGGACATATTTCGCATTTTATTTGGTTGTTTTTATGTTTAATTAAGTTTCTGAAATGGCCGCTAAGGGGCGTAACTGCAATCTGGAATCTAAAAAAGTGATGTTTCTGTGAATTCCGCTATATTATCCTAACAAAAAAATGTCAGGTCTTTGAAGACGACGATAATCTGAATCTTTTTTGTTTGAAAATTTTTCCTGTATCTCTAAAAATGAAGTGATGGGGGGTATTCAAAGGTTTCCGTAAAGAACACCCTGTATCTTCGAAACAGCTGAGCCGATTTAAACAAACTCGGGTTAGTTCAAAAGAGCTATTCTTCAGTTACAAATATTATAATGTTTGAAATTTTGTTAGTTTCACATGTCACCGCTTGAGGGCTTTTTTCGACATTCCAACAGAAATGGTTAATTTTCTCCAAAAAATTAAATGCATTGGTTTGATTTTTTTTAATGAAAAAGTAGCTAAATGATGCTTAAACAAGCTCGCGAAAACAGCATCTCTATATCTTGAGATATATAAGACATAGATAGATAGATAGATATCGTGATGGTCAGCATTTTGAGAATTTACGGCGGCATTAAAAGCTTCTTTTTTTAAATCGATCCATCCCTTAGGGCCACAAATTATATAATAAAAATAATTCCGCAAAAATTAGCTTAAAAAAAATAAAATTTTGAGGGTATAACATTTTCTTTGGCCTAAATTTTAGGTTAGGAACAAGATATCGAGATGCGGTTTTCGCTAGCTTGTTTAGGCATCATTTAGCTACTTTTTCATGACAAAAAAATGAAACCAACGTATTTAATTTTTTTGAGAAAATTAACCATTTCTGTCGGAATGTCGAAAAAAGCCCTCAAGCGGCGATATGTGAAACTAACAAAACTTCAATTATTATAATATTTGTAGCCGAAAAATAACTCTTCAATTAACGCAAGTTTGTTAAAATCGGCTCGGCCGTTTCGAAGATACAAGGTGTTCTTTACGGAAACCTTTGAATACCCCCCACCACTTCATTTTTAGAGATACAGGAAAAATTGTCTATCAAAAAAGGTTCAGATTATAGTCGTCTTCAAAGACTTGACATTTTTTTGTTAGGTTAATATAGCGGAATTCACAGAAACGTCACTTTTTTAGATTCCAGTTTGCAGTTACGCCCTCTAGCGGCCATTTCAGAAACAAAACTATTTTCCACGTTTATATCGTGGCCGTTTTAGCAAAACTTTTTTTATCGCAAGCCTTTACGATGGACAGGTTCCCAGATACAGTACCTCGCATTCTTATTTGGCCCCCCTGTACATCGCTGATGTACTAAGTTCCCCCCCTTTCCTAGTGAGGTCGACAGTTCCAACCCCTCTGGTCGAACCCAGGGACCGAAATACTAGCCAAAAGCTCATCGACATCGTCCTCGAACTCTGATGGCGCCGGTAGTAATCCCGACGCCTCTTCGAGGTCGAAAACTAGGGATTGAGCATTCCGTCCCGCTGCTCCGGTGGAGCTCTGACGCGCGAGACCCCCGCGTGTATCTGAAAGTTCTGCCGCTGGTGTGCCCGACAAAATGCCTCATCAACACTACCAGGCTCCTCCCTGTGGAATAACATCCTCCATAGGTTCGCACTGAACCCAGGATTTTGCCTCTAGGGGCGCCTCATGATAGTGGCGCGTCATCCGAAAGCCCATATAACGCAGCCATTATCTTGGTAACCCTAGGGAAGTGCCTCTTGAAGTTTAAGAGACGTGACCTGCCAGCCGAGGAAAGGGCCCCCTCTCCATCTCGTCAAGAACTGTATTCAATGCAGCCATAATGCACCGCGACTGAGGCTAAGTGATGTCCATCTCCGGGAACGATGGCAACCCTGATCCCCACCGCAGCAACTTGCCCATAGGTTCGTGGAGCACCCTTATTTGCAGGCTGCCCTGAGCCAGACCCTTGAGTGCTTCCCTCTGATCGGTGACGCGTTGTCCCTGACGTCGGGTTGTCTCCTTAATTACCAAGACACACATCGCCTTAACCTTGGCGCAAGGCCCGCTTGACTCTAGGTTTTACCCTCGAGTCGGCGCCCTGCTTGTTGGTCCCTTCTGAGGAGGAGTCCAGGAAGGGTTTTTTTGAATAATCGTTCATACAATTCCCACAACTGCAGAAATGTGGTCTCACCCGAACAGAGCTGCTTGCCCAGGGCTTGGCTGCTAGCGGGCCACCACTCGGAGGTCGCTTCCAGTCTGGGTTTTATCCCTGACGAGCTCTTATTTCAATTACGTGATCAACGAAATTGTTACGTGTATGGGGGCATCCTGTATGTGCAATTTCTAGCACATAAAGTTTGATGTTGATGTTCTTTTCGCAAATTGTATCAATAAATAGATGCATCAAGAAGAATTTGGATTAACATATACGCTAACTAATATCCAAAGCCAACAACGAATATTTGTTTTTGATTAAATTTCATTAAAGATAGAGGTTCTTATATTTATTTCACAATTTGTGTCAAGTAATTTCCGTCAATAAAAAAAAGGATCGGAATCAGTTTACAGGTCGAAAAGTATTGATTGAAGTAGGTATTCGTGAAACCAATCACCATTCAGGGTTCGTGCTTCGAAGCCTCATTTGGACGATTGGCCCAGTTGTGTTAGATTTGCCTCTTATATTTATGTTTTGGTACGTACATAGTTTTATCTGTTAACTCGGCGATAAGCTGACCTCTTGCCTGAAGTTCACTTAACAGCAATCGCCGGGTTTTCCAAATCTGTTAAAATTTCCCACCAAATACTTGAAATAATAGAAAAAAAAACTCTGGAATCACACATAAAACCCATTGCACTGAGCTTACCAGGCATAGATTTACAAGACTTCAAAATGTGGAAGTTATACGTGTACTTGGCGACCATCGTTAATTTGGGGTTGTGTGGGGAACAAGTGAAGGTTAAAGATGGAATTTTAGTTTTGAACAAAAACAATTTCGACCAAACCATATCCAACAATGAATACGTTTTTGTGAAATTTTGTGAGTGGCGAAACGAAAACGAAATCGAATAACGTTTCAAATTTTAGATGCATCGTGGTGTATACACAGCAGAAACATGGCGTCGGAGTACGAAAAAGCAGCAAATGAAGCTTCCAAATTGCAAATGCCCATCAAATTTGCAGAGCTAGAAAGTGAGAACCACACAGACCTGATGAATAGAAACAAAATTAAGGGCTATCCCACACTGATTCTCTTTAGACGAAAGACGCCTATTGAATACCCCAGTAAGACGTAGATATGCAAATCTCAGTTTAGAAACTTTCTCGTTTTTTAAGGAAGCAACGATCGTACGTCTGAAGCATTTATTTCGTGGTTAAAGGACCAGACACTGCCCACAGTGAAACAACGGAACACTACTAAAGAAGCAGAAGTTCTTACTAAAAATGAAGAAACTGTTGCTAGGTTTAATTCTTCGATTGTTGCGTCTCAGGAAGTACGTTTCAATCTCAAATCATTAGGTATGCTGATATATACACTTTCAGGGTAACCTCGAGGACCTGTTTAAAAAAGAGCTGGATCTGGAGTTCATTGATGATGTATTAAATCCAGATCAGTGAAGGATCTATTTCTTTTTTTTATGAGTGGGGTTTGCTGTTATCGCTACTGACATGTTAATTACACTTTGATCTCCACTTCAATAAAGCTCAAAAGGATTTGCAGTTAGTCTGTTTTTTTAATAATTTCACAAATCGAGTTAATCACGTTCTCCAATAATAATTCCAATAAAGCCCTAATTGATTCAACACATAGGTATTAATTATACAATCTCAGGTCATCTCTGTTTGCCGAAATATTAAAATTTTGGGAGCCTAAAAACTACGGATGGTGAGGAATTTACCTTGAGAATTCAAAGACATTGATTGGCACCGATTTTGCATATTTACTGTTTCGCAAACATGAATCAGCAAATGTGATAGAAATAGTATATTAAGTGAATAATCAAGTCTATAAAGCACGCCACCCATGAACTTTTAACACAGCTGTCTATTGTATACAAAAATAATGCCTAACAAACAATCTAAAGATAAAGAAATTTTACACAAAGAAACACCTGCAAATTTTGTCTTCAATATTTTATCAAATTAAATATATAGCAGTGGCTCGTTTTAGACGGTCAAATTTAAAGATGTAAAGAGCGCTTATTGTTATATGTATTTTGTATATCTAGACTAAAACATTAGCTCTATCCAGGATCGTCTACTAGCGAAATAGATACCGCAATATCACTTGAGAGGAAATTGAAGAATGCACGAGGGAAACTCCAGGAAAATGTATAGACGAATTTCGGGAAATCCTATGGAAACTTGATGCATTTTTGAGGGTAATTTTGGGGATTAACGAAATTTCTCACATGATTCGGGCGTGAGACGGATTTGACAGTAACTGGCCGAAAATTTGTGCGGAGATAGTCGATGCAAATATGAGAGGGGACGCAGTATAAACTTAACAAAGAACTTTAAATTAAGTTGAAAGAAGCAACATGCTTTAGGAGATTTATATGACCCGATTAAGAACTTGACGCAAAGGGTGAGGGAAATTGAGGGGGATTTCGAAACCTAACGGCAAATGGAGAACATTAAATTTCAGAGGAACTTAGGAAACGTTTAAGAAGAAATAGAGCAAAGCTTGAGCCCTAGGGAGAAACAAGTACCATTTTTGGTGTACACCAAAAATTCAAATTCAAATTAATTCACCTTAATTCAAAATAATTCAAGTAAATTCAAATTAATTCACGTTAATTCTAATTAATTCACGCTGGTTCAAATTAACACAGAGGGGTGTACACCAAACATTCAAAGTTGTTTCCACCTAGAATTTTTCCAAGGCAAATTTTTACCAGGACTAGAGTTTGCGAGTAAAGTATTTCAACGGCGGATTTTTTATGGGGACAAATTTTTTACACAAGTATACCAGGAAACAATTTTCCAAGAGCAATCTTAAATTTTCAAGACGAGCATTTTTTCATAGAGAATTTCCCCAGGGAGAATTTTTCGGAGACGATATTTTAAGTGCCAAATACTCCAAGGCCTATATTTTTGTTGGAGGCTAAATTTTCCGTATGCGAATTTTCTGGAAATGAATTTTTCCACGACAAATATTCCCAAGGCGAATTTTGAGGGGACAATTTTTGTGGGTCAAATATTTCAAGGGCAATTTTTTTACGTTTCTGGAGACAAGTTTCCACGCAAGTTTTCGGGGCGAGTTTTTTAAGCGAGTATTCCACGGCATAAACTGCCAACGCAAATTTTTCTTTGACGATTTTTTGGGAACCAAATATTCGAAAGATGATTTTTTCAACATTTTCTGTAGACGAATTTCCTTTTCTTGACGAATGTTTCAAGGGCAATTTTGGGAGCCTACATTTTCCGTAGGTACAGTTTTCGGAAGAGAATTTTCCCGGAACAATTTTCCTTGTAGTTTTTGGGAGTCAAATATTCCAAGGACGACTTTATTCGGTAGACGAATAGGAAAGAAGTTTTCCAGGAAGAACCCACCAAAAAATTGTTGGGGCTGAAATTTTCACGCAAATATTACGGGAGGAAAATTCGTAGAGGCGAATATTCCCTGTATGAATTTACGGGTTGAATCTTGCACGGAAGCATTTTAAAAAGGCGATTTTTTCATAGCGAATTGTCTCATCTTTTTTTCGGAGGACAAGTCTTCAGGGGTCAAATATTCCAGGGGCGATTTTTAGAGCGCATCAAATTTTTTGGAATTATTCACGCAAGTATTCTAAGGACGATTTTTTACAGGAGTGTGCGATTTTCAAGAAACGAATCTTCTAGGGCAATTTTTGTCAGGACGAGTGTTTGTGGGTCAAATATTCCAACGGAGATTTTTTCGAGACTAAATTTTCTGGGGGCAAATTTTTCAGTTTTTCAGTATTCCAGGGAAAAGTTTTCCAATAACGATTTTTTCGTATTTAAATTTTTAGGACAAGAATTTTTCCATAGCGAATTTTTCCAGGGCAAGACGTGTTTTTAATGCCAAATATTCCAAGGGCGATTTTTTTTAAGCTAAATTTCCAGTACAAATATTTGTTATACAATTATTCCAGGAAAAAAATTTACGGTGCGCATATCCCCAAGGCGACTTTTTCAAGCCCACATTTTCCAGAAACGAATTTTTCCATAGGGAATTTTCCAAGAAGAAATTTTTTGGGATCAAGTCTTTGAAGATCAAACACAATAGTGATTTTTTCGAGGCTACATTTTCAGGATGAGAATTTTTCAATAGCGAATATCTCCAGTGAGAAACTTTTCCGTGAACAAGCCTTTAGGGATGAAACATTCCAAGGGCGATTTTTTAAGCGCAACCAAATTTTCTGAGGCGAATTTTCTGGGGAATTATAAGGGCATCTTTTTCAGGAATCGATGATTTTTTAGATACGAATTTTTCTTAAGGGGAACAGGTACCATTTTTGGTGTACACCAAACATTCAAATTCAAATTAATTTACGTTAATTCATGTTAATTTACGCTAATTCACATTAATTCGCATTAATTCAAATTAATTAACGTTAATTCCCATTAATTGTAATTAATTCACGTTAATTCTAATTAATTCAGGCTAATTCAAATTAATTCACGTTAATTCAAATTAATTCAGAGGGGTGTACATCACAAATTCAAAGTTGTTTCCCCCTAGCTTGAGCCCTTGATAGTTTTTGTCTTCAAGATAAACTTGAAGAGAACATAAGGATAATTGACCAGGAATTGATATTGGTCAGTATAGAGAGGATTGAGTGGAACTTGAGGGGAACGTGAGTAAAATTTAAGGAGAACTTGAGAAAAACTTTAGAGGAACTTGGTAAGAATTCAACAGTTTTTTTACCTAGTCGAAATAAGTACAATACCTCTCGTATCTAAGATATAATTGGAGCTTAGCCAGGATACGCCGTAAGTTCCACTTGGCACTTAATATCGACTTAATTCTGGTATACAACTACAATCTGTGGGTTTAATATTTGGCGTATAACTTGATGGCACGTCTTGTTTTATTATTTTTTACGAGTAATTGTGTCGCTTACTCATTTTGTCCTACTACTACTAAACGGAAATTGCAATATCTTCCTATCACGTTTTGCCTATGTGATAATGGAAATTGTGCCGCTCTCGGCAGTTAGCAACTTGTGCGATTGTGTCAAAACCGAGCCTCTCGCGTTAGTTTTCCAAATGAACCATTTGTGTCACGTGATTTCCCGTACTTGGAAAGACAGAAAGCTTCGACTTCTTACTTCCGTCGCTTTGTTAAAACGTATGACAGTTACAACCTGCAGGACAAAAGGTTCCATACGTTTATATAAATGGCGCAGGAAGCTCATGAATTACTGTCGCTGATGTCGCACAAACCTCGCATATGCAAGTGGAGTGAATACATTTAAATAAACTTTCGTGTTTAATTCCCTCTGTGAATACGTTGGCTTTCTAAGATTAGTTTTATTCGTTCAAGATAAGGGCTGCAAGAACTACTAAAAGATCCAGCAAAGAAAACATCTAGCATTGCTGTTCAATGATTTGGAAATGTAACAACTGTTTGTTTTAAAGTGCAGGGACCGGAGTACCGAGACAAGAAAATACAAATAAGGACAGGTACAAAATTCTCCGCCAATGGATTGCCTTTATTTTTGGGGAAAACAATTATCGCCATTTTAAGGGCCAAATTCAAACTGTCTTCAATAATTTTTGATCACCCTGTATTCTACTATGGGCAGAAGATGAGGAATATGCTTTGGAGTCTCTGGTAGCTGATCCTTGAGAATTGGAGCAAAATTGGTGCTTTTGTTTACTTCCAAAATTGTCAATTCTCCATTTTTATATGAAACTTATGGAGTGGTTACGATCATAGAAATAAAGAAAATAACTCAACAAAGAACAAAGAATAATACAGTATGTTGAATATTGATTTCTCCAAGCCGTGGGAGAAATCTGTTAGTTACATATTAAAATAAAATTCACATCTACCCACTTTCAGGTGGGTACCCCAGCTAGGGCGTACACTGACGGATGTTCTCCCCTTTGTTATTTACTGCTATTAACTTGTGTGATCGTTGAATGCTCTTTAGTTTCTTTTGTGACGCTTATGAGATTATTTTTCAGATTCTTTCATTTTTTTTAATTTTTGGGGTGTTAAATTATATTTTTGCGGCGTCAAATTACGTTTTTAAAGTCAAATTACATGTTCGAGGTCATGTAAGGTAAATGACTATTTTTAATGTGCCTAATTACATTCTCAAGGTCGTCCAAGGCAAATTGACGGTGCTATATTACAATTTCAGGGTCATCAAGGGTCAATTACACTCCATTTCTATGTGGCGTCGACTTACAGGTCAATGAATCCACCACCACATAAAAATGCGAGCATTGACCTTGGTTGACCTTGAAAATGTAATTTGACACAATAAAAATGAATCCATTGTTTTTTGATGACCTTGAAATTTAATTAGACGCCACAAAAACAAGGCCAACGACCTTGGGTGACCTTTTACACCCCAAAATAGGTTCCTCGATCTTGAATGACCTTGAAAATGTAATTTGGCATCACACAAATTTAGGCTATTGACCTTAGATGACCTCGAACATGTAACTTGACTCCAACAGAAAAGGGGACATTAACCTCGTATGACCTTCAAAATCTAATTTGACACTGCAAAAGAATTATAT